CGTTTTCCTCGCCCTTTACAATTTTATCCACACCCCTTATTGTCTCCAAGCCTTCGTTAGCTGAGAAAACGGCCTTGAATTTTTCCAACACCAAATTGGCAAGAGGTCTCTGCGCTTCTATAAGCCGCATGGGCAATGTGTATATTTTTTAATCTTAAAAAAAAATTGTAAATGCTATAATAATTTTTTTAAAGGTAGAAAAGGCAAAAAAAGGCAAATATCTTAAAAAAGGCAAAAAAAGGCAACATCAAATGTGTATATATGGAATCAGAGAAAGCTAAATCGTGGACATTCTTAATCGAATATGCTCTATCTCGTTAGCAGAAAAAAAGGCAATTTCCATAAAATCCGTTCCCTGGTTATAACCTTCTTTATGACTTTAATATTAACCAATTAATCACAATTCATTAAATAAAAACACCTCAAAATCACGCGTCTTACTTTGGTTGCATATGCAAATTAAATGGCGGAGTTCAGCCGTCAAACTCCAAAATATGCAAAAGAATAAGAGACAAAAGAAGATACTATATAACCCAGTAAGCATTAAAAATATAAACCTTTCCAGGGCAATAGTATAAGTGCAGAATACGTTCATTTCTCTGATTGGAAAAATTTATATTGGGATCGATAGGTGTCTTAGTCCTGATTATAGACATAATAGACATCACTGGGGCGGCAGCCCCAGGTTTACCACACAGAAAGGAAATTCTAGTTACCTTATCCTTTTCCAAGGCTACAAGTTGGTGCACACCAAAAGGAGAATTCTATTTGGTAAGGGCTATAAGTGTTCTCTGCGAAAAGTGTTCAGCCTCACTTCTTTCGCCTGATAACGACCTTGGGAAAATTTATTTTATTTAAAAACCCCACCCGTAATGCCGTTTTTCGCCCATTTTCAAACGGTTCCGTGATTGTCTGTGAGAGGGCCCCGGAAGGGGCGGGGTGCGGCTTTTCGTAAAGTGGGACTGTCCCCTTTCAAATGGTGGGCAGGGGTTACGGAGCCACGCCCCTCCCCCTCCGCCCCACCCCAAAAACGTAAGGCAAATAACTAAACATTTCCCATCTTGGTCCTTAAATTTTTAAGAATACAATTATTATAATCATAATGGTAAAAAATATGATTACAATTAAAGTAATCGTAATCGTATATGGGTATTTCCATACGTCGCATACCTGACAGTCGTACGTTTCAATGTGATACAAAAAAGGAATACCATTTGTTTTCTTTAACTTTTTTGGGCCATTGTATAGCACATAATTAGCTCTAAATTTAACCGAAAAATAAAATCAGTCGAACAGCTTGGTCCTAAAATATAAGCATTTAAAGAGAGTGTCGTTACGTGACAAAAAATGGAATTTGATTTTTTCTTTTCTTACAAAATCGCAAAACTCTGCGAATTGTGGATGGCTATTTTCATGAAACTTATTTTAATATGATTTGAAGCCATTCTAGTTGTTTTTAGAGTTTTTTGAATTAGTGCAAATTGTTTAAATTTTCCTTTACAGCCCCAAGTGTGAAACGTGACGTGACGTAGCGTCACGTGACATA